AAAAAAAACAAAAAAAAAACATGAAGTTTTGTTTTTGTTTTATTAATATTTTTAACCCAATATAGTGCAAGCTGTGGAAATCTTTTTATTGTTGTATTCATTTAAAATTTAGATCCTTAGGGTTTTGAAAAACAGGTCTCACTGCTCTGTGTGTTCCTACCTCTCTTACTCTCCCACATACCCGTTCTGCCCAGAAATGTTATTACCAAGCAGCACAGAATGTCAGAGTGATAGCGCTTAACCAATGTCTAAAACATACTAGGTAAAATAAATAACTCGGGATACATTCACATCCTCAATTTTACTATTAAAATACATAAAATTTAAGAAAGAGCAAATACATTTTTCAGAAGGTGATGTATTTAGCATTTGAGTGTAATTAGGTTTAATTGCAGTATTTTTAAGATTTTTAGAATTGCCATTTTGAATTTACATAAAAATACAATTTTGTTTCCTTGAACTTTGAGTTAGTTTACAGATATCACTTTTTAAATGTGGCACTAAAACAGGGTACTTGGGTGGCTTAGTTGGTTAAGCAACCGACCCTGCGGTTTTGGCTCAGGTTGTGATCTCACAGTTCATGAATTCGAGCCCCACATGGAACTCTGTGCTGATAGTGTGGAGTATGCTTGTGATTCCCTATCTCCCTCTCTCTCTCCCCCTTCCCCACTCACTCTTTCTCAAAAATATATAAACATTTAAAAAATAAATGTGGCACTAAAACAATAACTTTTAATACATCATATATGGTACATATATAATTTGGTTATGGTTGAATGGAGGGCTCTGATTTTTAGAAATGTATTGTTTCCATGGGAATAAATACAATCCAGTGAACATGGATTTCATGTTTACATTCTACAACATTCAAATAAATGCATTCTTTTTTTTATGTTTATTTTTGAGGGGGGGGAGGGGCAGAGAGAGGGGGAACCACAGTATCCAAAGCAGGCTCCAGGCTCTGAGCTGTCAACACGGAGCCTGATGTGGGGCTCGAACTCACTGACCACGAGATCATGACCTGAGCCAAAGCCTGATGCCCAACCAACTGAGCCACCCAGATGCCCCCAAATAAATGCATTCTACTGAAAAAAGAATACAAGCACATTTCTGGATGAGAGAGTAATTTTTTTTAATGTTTATTTTGTTTTTGAGAGAGAGATACAAGTGGCAGAGGGGCAGAGAGAGAGGGAGAGAGAGAGAATCCCAAGCTGTGCTGACAGCAGTGAGTCTGACGCGGGCTCAAATCACAAACTGTGAGATCATGGCCTGAGCCAAAGTTGGACGCTCAGGTGCCCGAGAGTAATTTTTTAATAACAGAAAAGCTTTGGGAGAAATATTAGAAAATTTGTAGTCCAGTGGTAAAGTCCAGTGTTTGAAGATTTTATTCAGAGTACACCACTTTTTACCTCTATTTAAACAACCATCAAAGCAGAGAAAGCAGGAAACACTAAACAGAATCGACAAACCTGGAATTGGTCTATACTTCCAAACGAACCTTTTCTCTTTTTCATCTTAAATGCATCAAGGTCCTCAGTTTCCAGTGTCAGAGAGTCTTCCTGTTCTGTTTTTGACTTTAGTTCCTGTAGAGAACAGAAATTAAAAACACCTTATTGCTTTTACTTCCTGGCCATCATTAAATATTTATGCAGATAATCATTTTCTTCACATTTACTTTCTTCCTTGTAAAAAGAAAGAAAATGCATAGATGAAGGTTGGGGCTACTGGAGAGGAAAATAATGTTAGCCCCTCATTGAAGCAATAAAATCTCACAGCAAATCAAGGTTTACTAACATCACTTGGTTTTTTTTCATTGTTTGCCAGTGTTATAAATCAGCACAGCAGGTTAAGAGTCTGAAAATTACAAATGTCCTTTTCTCTTCTGCCTTTCTAAGCTCATGACCTTTTAGTTAGTCTCCCCAAGGCACCCATCTGCCATGGGGATACTAGAAGTTATGACAGTAGAAATATGAAAAGTAATATTCAGTTTCTGTCATTCAGAAATAGGATTTTGTGCATGAGAACAGCCTTTCAAGATAGATGATGGGGGGTGCTTGGCAGGCTGAGTCAGTATAGCATGCAGCTCTTGATCTCGGGGTCACGAGTTCAAGCCCCACACTGGGTGTAGAGATTGCTTAAATAAATAAACTTAAAAAAAAAAAAAAGATATGGGCTCCTGGGCGACTCAGTCAGTTAAGGTCCGACTCTTGATTTCGGCTTGGGTCGTGATCTCATGGTTCGTGAGACTGAGCCCCGCATCTGGCTGTGCTGACATCACAGAGCCTGCTTGGGACTCTCTCTCTGACTCTCTCTCAGCCCTTCCCCTACTCGTGCTCTCTCTCAAAATAAATAAATAAAATTTTTAAAAAAGATAGATCATGGTCCTTTATTTTCCATCCACATTTTAAGAAGCCTCAGGAGTTCTCCTGGGTTTAGAGATGATGCCTCTGTCCACCACTACCTTAGCAGGAATAAGGAAGGAGGCCATGAACCAAAGTGGGCTGGTCTGCATTACTATTGCTTATTGGTCCATGATGGATAAAACTACAGAAATTGAAAGTGTTTAGAAACCTTTATAAAATTGGACAGAATTTTATGTCTGTTGAATATTAATAGTTACAATAAATAATTAAAAGATTGACTCGTATTGTATATTTTTTTATTTCATTTTCATTTTAATACTAAAATGGGCTTGACAAGCTAATAATAAAATGAAAACTGCACCTTCTCCACAGGTAATTTCAGAAGTACTGATATAAAGGAAGTAAAAGGAAACTCTATCATGTTCTAGCCCTGGGAATGGCAGAAAGAAAGAAAGAGATGGTAAGAAAGATGTGTGTTCCAGTTTTCCTCCCTCCGAATTTTGGCCCAGAAAGGGGGTGAGAAGGAAGGTGTATCACTGGGGGCAGAAGGGCAACACGCAGACGGTAGTGCAGAGGACCCACCCACAGGGGGCTGCCCAGCCTCGCTGAAAGAGCAGAAAAGTTCGATCAGGGAAAGAGGGATGAGAGGTGTCTGGGTGGCTCAGCGGTTAAGCATCAGACTCTCGATTTTGGCTCAGGTTATGATTTCACAGTTCATGAGTTCGAGCCCCACGTCGGGCTCTATACTGACAGTGTGGGACCTGCTTGGGATTCTCTTTCTCCCTCTCTCTCTGCCCCTCCCCTGTTCATGCTCTCTCTCAAAAATAAATAAACATTTATTTAAAAGAAGAAGAAGAAAGAAAAAGAGTAGAAAAAACGGAAAGAGACTTATTATAGACTCCTTGGCATCAAGTGATGTGGATCCTGAGAACCAATGACCGTTTCCCCACAATAACTGACCCCAAAAGTGAAGAAGAGGACAGTCCATTGGGCTAGCAAGATAGATGGGGACCTAGTAGCTTCAATGGGGATTCATAATGCCAGAGGAGGTGAGATGAAGCCAAAGCACCTCCATGCTCTAAACTGAAAGCGAGACCAGACTACAAGTTTATGCCAACTCGGGGCTTCATCATGGGACCCAGCAAAGAAAAGCAGACAAGAGAGTGCACATTCCAGCCAGTCACACCCAAGGACCAACTGAAATTCAGGTGATCCTTTTCTCTTCAACTCCATATGATGCAATAAAAGCTATATACCTGACCATCGCATAAACTGGACTGAATATTCTTATTCAAGAGAGCTGAGAGTTACTTACAGGAAATGGTTAAATTACCAGAGTAAGGTTTGAACAGATTGGACATTTAGTTTGTTCCTAGGCTTCCAGCAATTATCATGATGTGGATTGGGCAGGGTGAGAGGGGTGGTGGTGTCATAAAGAACACAGGTCTGCTGCAGACTAAATAAAAGAAATTTTCTCTGCTCACCTGCATTGTATTACAAGTGAATATGACCCTGTTATATTTACCCATTAATTTTTTCATGCTTCCTAGCCACTTGTCCATAGTTATAACTTAGTCCCCGTCATAGTCGCAGCAACGCCAAGATGCTGAAATAAAGGCACCTTATAGTTGCTTGGAGCAGACTCTCTGCCCTTCCTCTTCTTGTGAGTGTACTATAGTAGGTGTCATCCTCTCTACATGTTACTCTAGACGTTATTGCCATTCTCTTACAATATAATCCCTGTTATAATATTAAAGTAACTGTTCACCAGGTATGATGCCAGGCTTTTCATATCTATTTAATTGTCCCATTTAATCCTCACGATAATCTTCTGAGACAGGGACTATTAAAAACTCCATTTGATAGCTGGAGAAAATTGGTGTTTAGAGAGGTAAAAAGCTCAAGATCACACTATGACCCACAGTTTCAAGGGTTCCCACACTTTTTCTTACAGCCTATGCACGGACTTCAGTTAAGAACTGGTACTCCAAGGAGAACCTACACAGACATCGTGGTATTCTCCGGAAATGGTTTAGTCAAAGGGAGAATGAAGAAATAGGCATGTTGGAAAGTTAGCCCCAAACAGAAGACTGTGAGCAGCTTTTCTGTTTTTGCATGAAGTAGTGGAAACTTTAATATATCTCTGGAATAGACTTTTTCCTTTTTCTGGAATACTCGTTCTCCCTTTACATAGGGTCATTTCCCTAGAATGAGAGATATGGCTAGAAGAAACAAAACTGCCCTAGATGAAAATGTAAAAAGTTTAAGTTACAGGCAGATTTGCATTCCAGAAAACTATGTATGCACTCTGACCAAAAGAGTTTTCCCTTTTCCCAAAATAGAGACTTAGTGCTATGTCTTGTTGGTTTAAACCATGATCTAAGAGAGCTGAGAAGCTGAGACCCAAAGATCATGTGACTGACAGGCAGACCTAATCCTCACATTGGAGGAAGGACCATAAGAAAGAGACTAGGTTGTTGGTAGTAGAAATGAGAATTGAATAGGTTAAAGATATTCAGAAGATATAATCTATATAGGACTTAGTGGTTCCTTCTTAGGAAGAAGACAGAGTCAAGGATGATTGCTAGCTTACCTATTTGAATGGATTGAAATGTTAGGTAAAGCACATGGAAAACTATGTATTTTCCCCTATGAAGGGAGCAGGGAGGGGAATTGTGGTGAGATAAGAAAGATCATGAATTTAATCTATAAGACAACCTAATGAGGATGTCAATGGTTGGATATAGGAATCCAGAGCTCCAAGTACAAATCTGGGGTTAAGGATTAAATTTGAAAGCTATCAGAGTTAAATTGTAGCCATGGAAAAAGATGAGGTCATCAAAGATAGAAGACAGAAGAAGCATAAGCCTAGAGGTTTGGGGAATTCCCATATATTAAGTACTGATCATGCAGGATGAACTAGCAAAGACAGAGATTAAGCAGTCAGAGGAAAAAAACAAGAATATAATTTCACAAAGGCAAAGGGGAAAATATTTCAGGAAGGAAGGAGTGGTGAACTATGCTGGATGCAGCTGAGGTTTTAAGGACTTTAGTGACCAAGAAAGCACTAGTGAATTTCTCAAAAGCTTTGAAGTAGATGGTAGAGACAGGAACCAGACACCAAACTGGAGAGGATGAGAGAATGAATGGAAGCAGAGGAAACAGAAACAGATGCAGTAAACTTTTCCAACCAGTTCGGTTATAAAGGTGAGAAGACAGAAAGAGAAAAGCATAAGGTTAAAGAAGGATAATTTTAAGATGAGAAAAATCTAGGGGCACCTGGGTTAAGCATCTGACTCTTGATTTCGGCTCAAGTCATGATTTCACAGTTTGTGAGTTCAAGCTGCACTCTGCACTGACAGCGCAGAGCCTGCTTGGGATTCTCTCTCTGCCCCTCCCCTGCTTGCTCTCTCAAAAATAAAAAACTAAATTAAAAAAAAAAACAAAACAAAGGGGGCATCTTGGTGGCTTAGTTGGTTAAGTGTTCAACTTCAGCTCAGGTCATGATCTCAATAGTTGGTGAGTTCGAGCCCTGCCTTGGGCTCTTTGCTGTCAGCATGGAGCCTGCTTTGGATCCTCTGTGACCCCCTCTCTCTGCCCCTTCCCCCTCTCTCAAAAATAAACATTAAAACAAACAAACAAACAAAAAAAGATGAAGGGTGCCTGGACGGCTCAGTCAGTTAAGTGACTAACTCTTGATTTCTACTCAGGTCATGATCTCATGGTTCATGAGTTCAAACCCTGCATCGGGCTCCATGCTGACATTGTGGAGCTTTGCTTGGGATTCTCTCTCTCTGTCTCTCTCTCCCTCTTTGCCCATTCCCCGCTCATGCACACACTTGCACACTCTCCCTCTCTCTCTCAAAAATAAATAAATAAACCTAAAAAAAAAAAA